GGCAGTGAGTTTGTTTTGGTTTGGAATGCCAATTTTAAACCCCCAATTCCAGCCTCAGCTTTTCTCTGACTGGGGACAAGCATCTAAGAGTCAAAAGGAAAACTAGGAAGAAAAGAAGAATGGGAAGAAAAAGACTGAATGGATTCTAAGTTCTATTTCTTTAGCACTTTCTCTAAATAACCACTATTGAGACATCAAACAACTCCTTGGAAGGAAGGTTGGGCAATCTACTTCCGTAGTGATACTGCCTCGGCAACCAAGGAGGTGTCACTATGAGTCAGGTCTGACTTGACAGTACACAACAAAAACAACAACAACATTATGTACTTAGCATTGCACCCATCACAAGAGAATATCAAGCATGGTTTTATACTTTGAGACCTCCATCACAGTGGACTATCAAAATCACAAAGGTTTACTCAGGAACTTGAAATAACCATGCTGTTTTGCCATAAGAAGCCTAGCAGGCCCTATTGCCAAATGACAAAGACATGATTTACAGATAAAGGACTGGAACATCCCTTCTCTTCACTCTAATTCTTCCAAATTCTTTTCCTTTATGAGAGAGAAGAGTTCACAATAACAGCCCGAACAGGGTTCAGTGAAGAACATGTGTGCATGCACACACACACACACACACACACATTCTTTCTTAATTAGCAAGTGCTTTGATGCTCCCATAAGAGAAAGGGAGGTAAATGAGCCTGGCTGATTATTGTTCTTTTTACACCATTTTTTTTCATTCTTTCTTGTAAATATTTCATATTTTAAAAACAGAAGGAAAGATTTACACATGGAAAGAAACATTATTTGATGGTAACCAGGGATGGGAAGCGAGGGAAAGGAAAAGTATCAAATCTGGGTAAAGGGAAAGGCAACACAGAAAAAAGGGACAAAGAAAAGGAAAGTGACTAACCAATCCTCTTCCAATTTCCAATGAAAACTAAGGAACTGAAAGGCATTTGACCTCAACCTCAAATCAAACAATATGATAAAAGATATGAGGAAGAACGCCAAAAGGAACTTG